GAGGGAGAGAGAGAGGGAGAGAGAGAGAGAGAGAGAGACGACAGACCGCCTTCGCCTTGTTCCCGCTACGCGCTGCGCAGCGTCCCGGCGGTCCTCGCCTAACCCAGTCGCGTCGCGCGCGGCCCAGAACACAAACCAGTCCATCCCGTTGCCACAATTGAACGGTCGGCCTGTAATACACTACTGTTACATCGGAAGGAAGGAAGGTGAAGGCCGCGCGCCGCTAGTGATCGGCAGTGATGCGGCAGCGACGCGCGGTCCAGACGCGGAGGAGGCGGAGGCGGTGATGACGCTATTGCATCACAGAGTCCGACCTCGTCACTCTGGCTAGACACACACCTAGGAGAGGTGCGAAGAAAAGATCCTCCTCAGAGCCCGCCGCGCCACCGCCGCCGCCGCCGCCGTCGGCGATGCGTGAGCGGTTGTCAACGTCATTCGGCATTTTTCGTTGAAAACGATGGGGTCTCGACTGCCTCGCAGAGAGTACACCAGTTTGCCAAAATTGCCAAAATTGCCAAAATTGCTCGTGAACATTTCGCATTTTAACATAAAACACTTGTAACTTTGGCACAACCAACTACTTTCTCCGCATGGGTTTGGGATCCGCTCATTTGAAGATAACCCGAGACTTGGTCACCCGCGTCACGCGTCACCGAGCACAAAGCACGATGCTATAAAGGTTAAGCGGGTAAAGCAGCAGCCTTGCAGTATTTCGGCTAGAGAAAATCTAGGAAAATTCACAGTCAACCAAGAAAGTTAATGCCAAGAAGTGAATAACCACGTAAAGTAATGATGCAAAAGCACATCAGCGACATGGGCGGAGCAGTCCCGTGTTTTCATAATGAGCAGTTATTATCGTTACCCTGGGAAAACTTGAAACCATCCAAAGTGTTCTCGGAATGCGAATGTCGGCGGAAACCGGAATGCAAGCAGTAACAGCAGCAGCAGACTGAATCACTTAAAAATATTTTTCTTTTATAATTCGCGCAGACAATCAGCTCTCTTGTTAGTCCCTATCCTCATGTTAATTCCCTCGCCAAGGCCAGTCCACCTGCAGGGTCGGCGGCGCGGGGGCAGCGAAGTGGGCCGTGCGCCTCGTCAGCTCAACGACGGCCGGACTCCCAAACCGAATCGAAAGGTTGGGTCGGGTGGGCTCCTTCGAACACGGCGGCCTGGGCTGGCCCGGCACCGGCCGGCCTATAGCCCTGCTGCTGCAGCCGGACCAACCGGCCGGCCGGAACCAGGACAGGCTGTGGACGCTGTGTGTGTGTCCGAGGCGTCGTCCTGGTGGGCGCCGCGCCACCTGATTGGGATCACCTCCCCATCGCGACGCCGACCTGCGAATGGCGCCATGTGATGCTGCACCGCACGACTCTACGATTCCAATCAAATAACGACTGTAGGCTCCTCTCCGTTCAGCCCGCAGCCCTCCTCACTCAGGCTGGGCGATCGCCTCCTGCCCCGTGCCGCGCTGCTGCTGCTGCTGCCGATAGCGTTCCCGTCGATCACACGCCGGCCGCCCACGCCACTCCAGCCCCGCACGGACGGACACGTATTGGAAACTATTAGAATAGCGGGTCGGGTCGGCGGCTGACGGCTTTAACATTTTACAAGGAGAGGGATGCCCATGTGTAACGGTGCACGGAGTGCAGCAGGTCCAGGACATGACGGGCATGCTGCTGGCCGCCGCCGCTGCTCGCCAGTCCGCACGCGTCGCCCCGGCAACCACACACCGCACGCCGCCCCGCCGCCCCAGCACCGCCCCAGCGGGGCCACCGGGCCCCCGCCCGCGATGTTCTCACTGCTCGCGAGCAGGTCAGCGGCCCGGGTGCGGCGCGGCTCGGCGGGCACCTTGGGGTCGCTGCGCAGAGGGCGAGCTGAGCAGTCCGAGGCTCCCCGGAGCCAAGCTCCTCTCCTGCTTCGATTGCTGTTCATTCAATCTCCTTGCCCTGGCACTCGGATGAACAGAGATGTTATCAGCAGCTGCACCATTGGCATCCAACTCATCAGTCTGCCTGGCTGACGTGAGTGACGAGGCCCTCGGCCGCCAAGCAGCGCGTACCGCGGGAGCAGAGAGAGAAGAAAAAAATATAATCCCCACCACCAGTGCCCCTGTTGCGCTCGACATATCGACACGTGGAGCGGCAGCTGTACAAAGCAAAGACTACTTGTCGCCGCCACCAGGCATAGACGACTTACCAAACACTTTCGAAGGGAAGCCCATAAGGGGCGAAATAAATGAATGAGGCAAGAAGCGGTGCATTAGTCTGGAGCGGACTGTGGCTGGAACGGGCCGCATGCTGTCCGTTGGGAGTGATTCGTTCCACAAGTCAGAGAGAGAGAGAGAGAGAGAGAGAGAGAGAGAGAGAGAGAGAGAGAGAGAGAGAGGAGCAAGCAGGTACAGCGTCGAGTCGGCACTGGCGCGCTCGCCTGGGGAGGCAAAAGATCACAATCGAATTTAAAAGAAGATAATAAGCAATGTAGAATTTGATCCGAGTCGTGACTCGCTTATCTGCCTCCCCCACACGCGCTTTGGCACCTCCCTGCAGCAGAAGTCGTTGACCGCCCGCCCGCACGCCCTCCCGTGCTCGCTCCTCCCGTGTGCCGTGCAGGCGCCAGCGCCAGCAGTCACTGGCTTCGGCCCCTAGAAGCTCTTCCACAGTGACAGGGTTTCCCTCAAGTTCATTTTCTGACAAAACCCAGTCAAAAAGATTATGTCGGCAACATACGGTAGGTTGACGCCTGCGCGACTTTGGGGAGGCCAGCCCGCAATACACGCGTGCACCAAGGGCAAGAGGTTGCCTACC